GTTGTGCGAAGTCGTTCCTCCGGATTTAGCGCACCTGATTCGGAAATACCCTGAGATGTTCCATGACGACCTGCCAGCTGGACTTCTGCTGAGCCGACCAGAAGACCATCGCATCGAGCTGGAACCAGGCGCCGAACCGACGGTACAACGAGAATTTCTGCTTAGCCAACAAAAACAGGAAGAATTGCAGCAGCAACTGGATGACCTTCTCACGAAGGGAATTATCCGGCCTAGCACGTCCCCATACGCCGCCCCGATACTGTTCACGCCGAAGAAGGATGGCGGATTCTGAATGTGCATCGACTACTGCGCGCTCAACAGGATCACCATCAAGTCGCGTTACCTGATCTCGCGAGCCGACGAACTACTTGACCAACTGCGCGGAGCCAAGTTCTTCTCGAAAATCGACTTGCGAGGGGGTTACCATCAGATTCGCATCTCCGCCGAGGATTGTCACAAGACGGCATTTCGAACCCGCTACGTCAGCTACGAGTACCTAGTGATGCCTTTTGGCCTCACGAACACGCCCTCGACTTTCCAAATGACTATGAACGGCATTTTCAGGGAACTCGTAGACAAATGCGTGATTACCTACCTCGACGATATACTAATCTACAGCCGCAGAAGGGAGCAGCACTTACAGGATCTTGATGCAGTCTTCACGCTGCTGCACAAGAATCGCCTCATCATGAAAGGGTCTAAGTGCGACTTTCTTAAGTAAGAGTTGGAGTTTTTGCGCCACATCGTCTCTAACGAAGGAGTGAAAATCGACCCCCACAAAATCAAGACCATACAGGAGTGGAAGCCGCCAAGCAACATCAAGGAGCTGCAAAGTTTTTTGGGTTTCGTCAACTACGTCCGCCAGTTTATCCCAAATATGGTTAGGTTATTTGCCCCGCTAACTGACCGACTCAAGGATCACGATTGTTTTTGGTGGGGAGAGAAGCATCAAGCTGCATTCGACCAACTGAAGATCGCCCTCACGTCGCCGACCGTCCTTTGCATCTCCGATCCCGACCGTCCATACGAAGTCATCACTGACGCCATCGACATCGCCATCGGTCCAGTTCTCCTACAGGATTTCGGCGACGGATTACAGCCGGTCGCCTATGAATCACGAAAGCTGCAGGGCGCGGAAAAAAACTATACGGTACACGAGAAGGAAATGCTGGCGATCGTCCACGCGTTCAAGACCTGGCGGTGCTACCTGATAGGCGCAGACGTCACGGTGCGGTCCGACCACAAATCCCTCCAGTACCTGCGAGCCCAATCGAATCTCAACCCACGACAGATCCGATGGCTCGATTTCCTCGAGTCGAATTTCCACTACACGATCACCTACAAACGGGGGGCCAACAATATTGCCGATGCCCTGACTCGACCCATTGCCCATACAGCCGCCATACTAGTCACCCAGACCAGCCCACTACTTACTGGACTATTTACCCACGGCTACATATCGACCCCTTCTTCCGCTCTACTAATCATCAACAGCATACCACCGCCACCGGTCCCTCTTTTAATAAGAGCGACACGTTCCGCATCTGGGTGCCCGACTACGATTTACCTCGTAACCTTCTCATCCAGGAATCCCATGACAGCCCTACCTCCGGCCATTTCGGAGTCGACTTAACCATGAAGACGTTGCATTGAAATTATTACTGGCCGAACATGGCCGACGACGTGCGCAAGTACGTGTCCTCCTGTACCGCCTGCCAGATCATGAAATCATCCCATCAGCGAGCAGCGGACTACTACAGCCGTTGGATCCGCCCGAGCGACCCTGGTAACTCATCACGATGGACTACGTGACAGGACTGCCGGCCGGTCCCAGCGGAAACGAAGCCATCCTTGTGGTCGTTGACCGACTCACAAAAATGGCGCACTTCATCGCCTGCCAACAGAAAATTACAGCTGAGCAAACTACCCAACTGTTCATCACCTACGTCATTCGACTGCACGGACTGCATACCGCCATTATTTCAAACGAGACCCGAAATTCACATCGAATTTTTGGCGCCACCTGTGGGACCACTTCGGCACCAAACTACAATTTTCCTCCACCTACCACCCACAGACCGACGGGCAGACCGAACGAGTCAACCAAACTATGGAGCAACTCATTTGGACTACCTGCACTGACCCACAGACATGGGAGAAATCCCTTCCGCTGCTGGAATTCATGTATAATAATGCGCACTCCGCCACAACCCATTAGTCCCCATTTTTCATCAATTACAGACAGGACCCAGTAGTACCCTCTACCCCGAACATCGAGACACCCGTGCCGTGGTCCCAGAAATTTGCCAAAGACATTCTTGCCGCCCAAGAAAAAGAAGCTGAGGCAATCAAGAAAGCCAACCTGGTCGCAAGCCGACAAGCCTATCGTCATCGACGTGACGTCACTTACAAAGTGGGAGATCTCGTACTACTCGACACTCGCAATTTGCGTCTGCCGATCCCGAGCAAGCTCCGACCCAGATTCTGTGTGCCTTTTCAAGTGACCAATATGGTGACACCTTTCACTGCTCACCTCCGACTCCCGGCTGACGGGCGTCACCACCCGGCTTTCCACGTCAGCCTCCTACGGCCCTATGTCCCCAGTTCATCGAAATTGGCATGCCAACGCAGTGTACCGCAGCTGACGCCCCTGTAGGAACCGACGACCGAGCCCTTGAAAATTCTCAGCCATCGAGTCACGACGTAGCTGAACCGTCGGATGGTGGATTTTCTTGTCTGTTGGCGCGATCGCACATCAGAAGATGACTCTCGCTGAGCTAGAATCACACCCGATTCTAACAGCGTATTATCAGCGTCGGAATGTTTTCGATGCCCGCGGTCTCGTTTAGGAGGGAGGGGGGGTAGTGTAAGGAATTTCCATTCCTTACTGAGTCATACGCTAGCACGTACACCCGAACTCCTCGACTCGTCACGTTCGGCCTCATTTATCATCCAAACCCTTTCCCGAGTCGCATCCGGCACTATTGCCACATTGCCGAACCTACCCACGTTCCGAGGTTATCACCCTAGTACGCCAACTCCTATATAACCTCGTGCCTTTCATTGCAATAGCGACCTTGTATTCTCACATTATAGTACATTGACACTTCCTATATCATAACACTCGGGACCGAAGAAGTTGGCCGAGCCTGGACTTCCGAGAGTCGAGGGCGTACGCGCTGTAGTCGAGCCCGGTAAGGAAAAGGGTATTTCCTCACACACGAAAACGCGTGACTTTCAAACGCAAAGCGTTTGAAGGCCGCGCCTCACAATTTGTGCCGCGGGTTTTAAAGCCCAGGTCCCAAGTTGCAAGCCGCGAAAAGCCGATTTACAGAACGCGGCTCGGGTTAGCGCTAACCGCCTGTGATTGGCCGTGAGGGACCAAACATGGGAAGACAACCGTGGGAAACACAAAGCCAAAAACTTGTCTTCGCAAACTGAACTACAATCACAACAGCTGAAAGACAGACTCCCTGCCAAACAGAGTCAATCTACTCACACCACCACACCCAGCAATACGCGTTCCAAAAACACACAAGCCAGCCAACTCATCACCCCAGCGTCTACCGCGCTGAGCAGTGAGGAGCGACATACGCGTACAAGGGGAGGAGAGAGGTGCGGAAAGGGGAGGAGAGAGGTGCGGAAAGGGGAGAAGAGAGGTGCGGAAAGGGGAGGAGAGCTGTGCGGAAAGGGGAGGAGAGAGGTGCGGAAAGGGAAGGAGAGAGGTACCTATCTCCATCTCTGTCCCTGCACCTATCGAACGGCGCCGAACATTTTGCAAGCGCGAAGCTTGTAGGAACCGGGAATCGGGAAGGCAGCGGGAAGCGAGAAAGGGCCGTACAGCAGGCTCTGGGGAGCGAGTCGCTGCGGGAAGCAGCGACATGGCGGCATGGGAAGGTGGGCGAGTCGCTGCGATTCGCACGGGCTGCGCGAAGCAGGAAACAGCAGTAAGCGGATCCCGCTTTGCAGCCAACCAGTGCCAAGGGGGGCGGAAAGTGGTAATGGGCAGCGGTAGGAAGCTTGTCAGTCCACCTGCCGAGATTGAAGCATGTTGGGTTGTTTGAACTTGCACCCTTGATGGTCATGCCAATTGTTTAGGTTTCTTGTAAGTTCATGATGGTGGGCCTTGCTTCCTGTCAGTAGTTCTTGAAGGATTTAGCAACTCTACTCAGTTACAAACAAACTCTTTGGCCCCTTCATTTTGTATGAGATTACCGTAGCATGTGAACCAGCTCTTTTTTCAATTAGGTACCACAATCATCCACCTCAGCAATTTGGAACCAATAGTCTCGATATACATTAGAAGGGGAAACAAGCAACAAGGTTGATGCCAAGAACGGCAAGAAAGAAACTTGAGCAGATGCCTCTAGAACAGGGTGGCGTTCCACGGAACAGGGAACCCACTGGATATGTGGAGTAACCCTGGGGAATGTCAGTGCCATACTGTTGTTGTTGACGTGAAAATATTTACGATCGAAGACAACTGCTGTGCAGCCGTGTTAATCCCCTCTGACCACCCTTAACTAATTAAACGAGAAAACGGAAGGTTCCTGGAAAGTTTGGGCTCTGATACCAGCTGTTATAAAATAGGAAGTGTCAGTGTACTATAACGTGAGAATACAAGGTCGCTATTGCAATGAAGGCACGAGGTTATATAGGAGTTGGCTTACTAGGGCTATAACCTCGGAACGCGGGTAGGTTCGGCAATGTGGCAACAGTGCAGGACACGACTCGGGAAAGGGTTGGGCCCGATAATCGAGGCCGAACGTGACGAGTCGAGGAGTTCGGGTGTACGGGCTAGCGTACGACTCAGTAAGGAATGGAAATTCCTTATAGTTCCAAGGGTTTTGAACCTGCACGAAAAAACTTGGTAACCCAGTTGGGCCTCGAGAGGGGGGGGGAACTGGCAGGGGGGGTTTCTGACTGGCCAAGCGACAGCCCTGCGACACAGCCAGCTCCCAGCAGAAAAGAATCACCTCGCCACACCAAGATCCTAAGGGTCTTGGTGTTTTTTCTGTGGTCTGGAGCCATGGCTCCATCCCCGCCATTTTCGCTACTCCAACAGCGCGACGCCACGAATTTCTTACTTTGTTAGAACTGTGCGGTAAAATATATAGGCATCGGGCGTACCCCTAACTCACGACGCGACACGAACGCGATTAGACGACGTTTTTGCAACCCTCGGCAAACATCAGTCACAGACGGACCTTCGACCTGTATGTATATATTTTATCGCACGCTAGATATATTTTACCTCCCTATCTAGCGTCACAGACACCTCAGGGTGTGCCACGTAAAAACCTAGCCAGCCCGACAGGCGATTACCAAGCCAGGCATCGCCGCTCGATTTCCGAAGCCAGATAGGCGCCACTCGAAAACCTAGCTGTCATCGCTCTCCTGCTATCCTGCTCACCCGTGTTGCCCAGCATTCCATCTTACCGCTGTCCCGCACTCCCGCTTTTCCGCACTCCCGCTTTTCCGCACTCCCGCTTTTCCCTCTTCCAGCTTTCCCGCATACACGCTTTCCCGCTCACCCTGGTCTCGCTTCCCACATTCGCTTTGCCGCGGTCCCGCTTTCCAACGGTCCTACTCTCCCCCTTCCCCGCATTCCCCCTTCCCCGCATTCCCGCTTCCCCGCATTACCGCTTCCCCGCGTTCCCCCTTCCCCGCATTCCCCCTTCCACGCATTCCCCCTTCCCCGCATTCCCGCTTCCCCGCATTCCCCCTTCCCCGCATTCCCGCTTCCCCGCTTTCCCGCTTCCCCGCTTCCCCGGTTTCCCGCTTCCCCGCTATCCCGCTTCACCGCCTCCCCGCTTTCTCGCATCCCCGCTTCCCGCTTTCCCGCTTCCCGACTTTCCCGCTTCCCCGCCTGCCCGCTTCCCCGCATCCCCGCTTTCCCGGTTCTCCGCATACCCGCTTCCCCGCTTCCCTGCTTTCCCTATCCCTTCCTCTCCCCCCACCTCACCCCCCCAGACTCTCCCCCCTTAATCCATGCCCCCCTCTTCCCGCCAGCCGACGCTTCTCGCGTCGGTATAGGGCACAATGCTTCAACAAGGTGTGCACTGGTGGGGGGGGAAGGTGTGCTCAGAAGGGCTGGTATGGAGGTGGGGGGAGCTGGAAACCGCCGCAGGGGTGGTGTGTGCTCCTTCCACTGCCTCTCCGCCCCTCCACCCTAACGTTCAGCCGCGTTCGCTCACTCCCGCTCTAGGTGACGTCCCCGCAACGTCCCACCTCTCTCTCCCCTCATTTCCCACCTCTCTCCCCCCACACTTCCCACCTCCCTCTCTTCACACTCCCACCTCTCTCTCCCCACACTTCCCACCTCTCTATCCCCTCGAAGGAAATAGCTTTGAGGAGAAAATGATGGTTTGAGTAGGGAGCCAAGAGGCTCTATTGTACAAACATTGGAGCAAGGAAGAGATGGAGGGGAAAGTCTCCCATTGGCCGTAATGTAGACCAATGGGAGAGGTAGCTTGGAGGACAAGCAACCACAAAGTGTGGTGCTCTCCGATTGGTTGGGTCTTGGGACCAAGGACCATTTGGTTGGAATAGTGCCAACCAAATGTCTAGGACCAAATCCAATCTTGACCAACCCAAATGTGGGGTTAGTCAACCCAACCAACAACCCCCCAATAAATATAATGACTACACCTCCTGATCTAGGCATGCATGTTGTATAGATATATATTTTACAACATCACTTCCCACTGCTCACCCCGTGCTGCCCACCTCTTTCACCCCCCCAACTCTCTCCCATGTCGCTCTGCCCACCTCCTCCCCCTCTCCCCTGTTCTCTCCCACTCTCCCCTGTTCTCTCCCCCTCTCTCCTGCTCTCTCCCCCCTCTCCCCTGCTCTCTCCCCCCTCTCCCCTGCTCTCTCCCCCTCTCCCCTACTCTCTTTCCCCTCTCCCCTGCTCTCTCCCCCTCTCCCCTATACTCTCCCCCTATCCCCTGCTCTCTCCCCCGCTCCCATGCTCACCCCCCTTCTCCCATGCCCACCCCCCTCTCCCATGCTCACTCCCCCTCTCCCCTGTTCTCTCCCCCTCTCCCCTGCTCTCTCCCCCCTCTCCCCTGCTCTCTCCCCTCCCCCCTACTCTCTCCCCCCTACTCTCTCCCCCCTACTCTCTCCCCCCTACTCTCTCCCCCCTACTCTCTCCCCCCTATCCCCTGCTCTCTCCCCCTCTCCCATGCTCACTCCCCCTCTCCTGTGCTCACTCCCCCTCTCCCATGCTCACTCCCCCTCTCCCATGCTCACTCCCCCTCTCCCCTGTTCTCTCCCCCTCTCCCCTACTCTCTTCCCCCTCTCCCCTGCTCTCTCCCCCCTCTCCCCTGCTCTCTCCCCCTCCCCCCTACTCTCTCCCCCCTATCCCCTGCTCTCTCCCCCTCTCCCATGCTCACTTTTCCTCTCCCATGCTCACCCCCCCCCTCCCATGCTCACCCGCCCTCTCCCATGCTCACTCCCCCTCTCCCCTGTTCTCTCACCCTCTCCCCTGCTCTCTCCCCCCTCTCCCCTGCTCTTTCCCCTCTCTCCCCTGCTCTCTCCCCTCTCCCCTACTCTCTCCCCCCTCTCCCTGCTCTCTCCCCCTCTCGCATGCTCACTCCCCCTCTCCCATGCTCACTCCCCCTCTCCCATGCTCACTCCCCCTCTCCCATGCCCACTCCCCCCCTCCCATGCTCACCCCCCTCTCCCATGCTCACTCCCCTCTCCCTTGTTCTCTCCCCCTCTCCCCCGCTCTCTCTCCCCTCTCCCCTGCTCTCTCCCCCTCTCCCATGCTCTCTCCCCCTCTCCCATGCTCAACCCCCTTCTCCCATGCTCATCCCCCCTCTCCCATGCTCACTCCCCCTCTCCCCTGCTCTCTCCCCTCTCTCCCCTGCTCTCCCCCCCTCTCCCCTACTCTCTCCCCCCTCTCCCATGCTCACTCCCCCTCTCCCGTGCTCACTCCCCCTCTCCCATGCTCACTCTCCCTCTCCCATGCTTACTCTCCCTCTCCCGTGCTCACTCCCCCTCTCCCGTGCTCACTCCCCCCTCCCATGCTCACTCCCCCTTCCTGCTTCCCTCTCAGAGGGCTTTTGTTACTCTGGAAAGAGGAGAGAGGGGGGGGGTGGAGGGGGCGGTGTTTACATGGGCTCTGGAGTGGGGAGAGGGAGGGATATGTATGGAGGGGGAGGGCTATGTATGGAGGGGGAGGGCTATGTATGGAGGGGGAGGGCTATGTATGGAGGGGGAGGGCTATGGATGGAGGGGGAGGGCTATGTATGGAGGGGGAGGGGGGGGGGGTGGGGGGCGGTGTTTACATGGGTTCTGTAGTGGGGAGAGGGAGGGCTATGTATGGAGGGGGAGGGGGGGGGGGGGTGGGGGGCGGTGTTTACATGGGCTCTGGAGTGGGGAGAGGGAGGGCTATATATGGAGGGGGAGGGGGACATCGGAGGGGGAAGGGATGACTCTGGAGGGGGGAGGAATTGGCGCTGGAGGGAGGGAGCGGAGGGAACTGGTGGGGAAGGGAAAGAGGGCTCTGGTGGGGGGGAATCTGGATCCGGAAGGAGGATCACCCATGCTCTCACCCCCTCGATTGTGCCCCAATCACCCCCTGGACCCCCCTAGATCTTGCCCCAATCACCCCGTAGATTACCCCCTGGATCTCCCAATCACCCTTGCTTTCCCCCTCTGCCCCACGCCCTCCCCTCCACCCCCTCTCTCTCTCCCGTCTGCCCTTCTCACCCTGGGTTCTTTGCATACATCCCCCCCCCCCCTCTACCTTTTTTCTCCTACCCCCTGCTTCCAGCACACCCCTTACTTCCATCCCGCTACAGTAGCCTGGTTTGTGGCAGAATGAGGGATCAAGGCTTTAGGGGACATGACTGTAGGGCGTGCTAGATTATAAGTAGATCCCCGCCATTTTCGGCTAGCAAAATCGCTATAGCTGCCTGGCTGCCTGCCTGGCTTTCTATTCCTAACTAATTGTGAACTTGAAATGTAATGTGTTTTTTCATTTTCTCATTAGCAGATCACATAATTATAACTTTGTTTTGTAGCTGGGAGACCGAGACTGCGAGCCCCTTGGACCGATGCCTCAAGAACTGTCGATAGAGAGCCGAATCCATCACGGGGTACTTAGCTGGTCGACTGCCACCGGCGAGCCTCTTCCGACAACCAGCCGCAACTCTCAGCCGCTCCCGGGCCTTCTTCCATTCCCGAATGATGAACACCTGCAATCTTCGCGAGGGCATGAATAGACAGGTCAGGCTGTGCGTCAAACATCGCGAGCCAATACAGCTTCGCTGTAGCGAAATAGGAGCGACATGCTCGTTTTGTCATTCTGGTGTGGGGGGGCGGTGGATTCGCATCGTGGTTGATGTTCGGTCCTCTCGGCCTGACAACCAGGGCTCAAATTAGCCGGGTAAAATGCCCTGATTGCCCTGATTTTTCAGGGCATTTTTTCATTTGGTCTTAAAAATCAGACTTACGAAATTTATTACCCTGATCCAAAAAGTGTTACGAAAATATTACCCTGCCGAAACTAGGGTTGCGGGGCCCCGAACCCTGACCCTTCAGGGCGTCCTGAAAACTACCCTGGTATCGAAACTCCGAGATTCCGACTAAGTCCTTGGCGGCCAGAAACATTTCCCCCAAAACACCCTGCAACCAAAAATTTCGACGAAGTCCCTGGCAGCCAGAGTCATTCCTCCCACCCCACGCACCATGCAAGCCAGCAATTTCGGCTAAGTCGTAGCCAGAGTCATAGCTCCCTCACCCCCTCGCAACCCAGAAATGGCTAAGTCCCCCACAAGAGACATGCCTCCCAACCACACCCCCGCTACTTTTTTTTTTTTCGCTAAGTCCTCCACACCACAGCAAGACACGTCACGTCGTATACGCCCTTCTGACACCCAACCAATCACGAGCAGATGGTTTTTTTCCCGCCCCTCTGCCGCCCATGTAAATCTGATTCCCCTCTCGCGCCCCAGAATCGTTTTCCGTCCCATCCCATCCCCCAATCTCCCCCAGCACGCGCAAATCCGCTACACCCTTCTTTCCACACCTCAGTGCAGCCCACTTCATTCATGTAAAATGTTCCTTAAATGGCCAAGGCTAGAAAGGGTGCAAAGAGTTCTACACTTGAAGCAAAGACTTCGAATTTTTTTACCCTGCCAAATCAGACTTTGAATTTTTTTAGCTCTGACCGTCAGGGCGTTTTTTTTTTCCTACTCTGATCTCAAAGAGTGGCCTAAAACCAATTTTGGGCCCTGCTGACAACAGGTGACGAGAATGAGGGGACAGTAACACGGGGCAGCGGACGGCGCTTCTGGCTGGCACCACTAGCCACCTCGTCGGCAGTTGTGGCCTCGTTGCTAGCTGTGCGGAGTGAGCTCCTAGGCGGAGATGAACTAGACGATCGCGGGACAGGACGTCAGAAAAATGTATGCCGGCCATAAGGGCTGCGTTGGGCAAGATGGCGACTGAGACCAGAGCCCGTAGTCATGGCCTCGATAGGCTAGGATGACAAGGGCAGAGAGCCCAAGATACCTTCGACAGTCCATACTGGAGGAGTTTTGAGAGCATCCTGATCTCGGATGTAGGAATGAGGAGACCAAGTGGGCTATACCTGTTACAGGGTCGAATGTGTCGAGGAAAAGTTGCACTATCGATTGATACAAGGCGCTTTTATACTTCCAAAGTACACCAGGTAACCAGGTTTATCCTATCCAAATGGAACAAACCCTTCTAGAAATAGAATCACCTTGCGTATAGCCACACGAGGCTATTGGCATTAAGGGATTACGGCAGGATTACGCTAGATATAGCGCGCCAGTACATCCCGAGCCTGGTCAGTGATATAAGCATAATAATAGGATAAACCAAAGGATAATGGAATAGGAGAAATAGGAAACCAAATGAGATGAGAGAAAAAGAGGAATGAAATAGAAAGGAGATATGGAAAGGGAAATTGGTGTAACGGGGTCATACTCTCACAATACCCTTCGTGAAACGACGAGGATGGAGAGGAGAGGGACGTGAGCGCCTCCCTTGTTATGCTGCACACGACACCCCCGTCAGGACCATCGCGCTCACGTGCTAGAAGCATTTTGAAGACTCCGTCAAGATGCCCCATAGTACCCTGCCAGATTCATCGACTTTGGCATGCTGGCATCGAGACGAGGTGCGCTGGCATTCATCAGACAGGCAGCTGAGGAATCGGCGCAGACAGAAGACCCTTATTGGCTGCTAAACTCACCCTTGGGTGACACATGATCCCACTTGGCATGCCCCCGAGCCTTATCGTCGAGGTCAGAAGTCAATTCAGCAGGTTTCCAAGGTCTGGATTAAGAACCATTGTTTTTCTTCACATTGAATGCCTTAAACTATAAAATGCATGTTGCACAATACCCAGACGTTATACAATTTTAGCCACTATTTACACCCCTCTCAAATTTTTGAGGCATTTTGGTTACCACCCTAGGGTGCTTTATACGGGGGAATACGGTAGTACTTTACTGTTTCTTCTTGCTGGAACAGTTTGGATGTGACGAGTCTGCCACCCTTTTCCCCAACTGTCAAAGGAGTGGCGAGGGCTGTGTGACCTCGTCAGGTCGTGCGCGGCCTCGTCAGTCCCGTTTCGTTTTGCCACTCCTATTTCCGTCTCGCTAGTTCGCCCATCCAAACTCAAGATTCAGATTACTTTGAATCTTGATGTTGTTCTGTTCCCTCGCTTAAAAAAAAAGGATGTGCCACATCAGCGAACGTGGTTCCAAGGGGCTAAATTATTTAGGACGAACCGTATACACGAAGCGCCCGGGATGATAAATGGAAGTCTATCTTGTAATGCATGACTGGTCCTCAGCCTACGCTATCATCCGGCTTTACTGTAGCGCACTCGGCTCCGTGTTTATGCCTTGCTAGTGGACAACCGGGAGAATAATCAGAGGGTGCATGAAATAGACTATGCGGTGGAGGCTTGCTGGAAAAACAAGGATGTTCATGTCAAAACAAGAGAATAAACTGATGAGGCACATGCAGGTCAGGGTTCCAATATGTGTGTTGTACTCTTTATAATCTGCCCTAGTTAGCCTACAGTACATGCAACTATGTAAACTATGTATGCTAACATACCCCTTAGGCTAAGTAGGGGCAGAGTCTGGGAACAAAAACAAATAGAGCAAAATCAGGGCAGCACTTCTAGTTTGACCTCTGGTGTATGTAACAGGCAACTCAGGGCAGCACTACTAGTTTGACCGCTGGTGTATGTAACAAGCAGCTCACAGCAGCACTACTAGTCTGAGACACGGGCCAAAAGGTCAGTCAGCAAGTGTAATAAGACAACCGGTATAAAACAACATACATAAAACCGGTATAGTACGGATCAGGATACAACCAAGTGTGAGGCCAGTGGGTCTAGACCAAGCTGAGTGCATAACCGCTGATGGTCACAAGGCCCAAGGGCCTTGGTGAAGATACTATTAGCAATGTTGACCTCTGAAGCCAACTGAACTACGTGGCAGCCCACGACGTGTCGGTATGTCCATCAAGGACCACTGGCTCCCGTCCTCCGAGCACAAGCCCCAGTTCTGACGTACTCGCCAGATACCGTAATACCCTCTTGACAGCCGACCACTGCTCTGGTCGGTGTCTGCCAGTTGCGACGAAGCGAGCAAGGATAATGAGAGGGTACGCTAGATCTAGACGAGTGCATGCCATCAAGTACATGAGGCAATCCACCACCTTTACGTAGGGACCACTGAGCTTGACCGGCTCACCAGAGACAGGAGTTGAGAGCCTGTGGTCCACAGGCAGGGGAATAGGTTGTGCCAACGAGAAATGAAGGCCGAACCTCAAGAGAATCTGTTGCACCACGCGGAACTGGAACATGATGAATGTGCGCGCTATACGGTCATGAGAGATCTTGAAGCCCAAATAGCACTGCAACTCTCCCAGGTCTGTACAGGCGTGTTGCCTGTGCAGCTCGGCCTTCACTGAGGCTAGTGCGACCCTGTTTGCTGTAGCAAAGATAAGGTCGTTTACGTACACAAAGATATAGAACACAATCTGACCAACACGAACAAAGAGTGAGGGGTCAGCAGAGGACAAGAAGAAGTGGAGAGCCACGAGTTTAGTGCGGAGCGTCTCGTGCCACTCATAGGGCGTCTAACGCAGACCGTAGACATGGCATCGCATGCTCCATTGGGTCATAAGAAGGAAGGACCTAGTGAAGTGTGGTGGACATCGCGGGTAGAGCTGCTCATGTAGGCTGCCCTGCAAGAAGGCTGTCGAGAAGTCCAGAGAGTGAAGCTCGTAGTCACGCTGTGCGGCTATGTGGGCGAGCACCCGAAGAGTAATCATCTATCGGGTAGCAAAGAAAGTATGGAAGAAGTCCGCACCCTCTCACTAGGTGAAGTCTCTAGCCACATACTACGCCTTGAACTGCGACGGCCCTCCAGGTGGGCGCTTCACCTTATACTGTAGATCCACTCGCCATCGACTAGTTTCGCCCTAGGATGAGGAACTACATCGACATAAGTGTTAGTGGATCTATAAGGTGCCATTTCTGCCTCCATGGCTTGTATCCACTAAGCTGCCCAGTGCCCCGACACCGCCTCATCGTAAGAGCACGGGGTGGGGATGTCCTTGGCATCCGGGTCACCCTCAGGGGACTCTAGCATGGCGCAGAGATGAGGTAGAGCAGTCGCAAGAAAAGCCAGCTTGTACTGCCTATACTCAAGAACGTCACTACCAAGGGTAGGTGCACCCCCGACGGACAGAGGATGGGCAGGGTCAGAGACCAGAGCAGAAGCGTAGTCAAGGCGGTGGCGCGCAGCAAAGTTAGCAACATCATCGACGAGGGCAGAGACACCAATAGGAGGAGCGGTAGGGTCTGTAACAAGAGAGGCGGGCAAACGGGAGACGACTGGATGTGCAGTGTGAGCATAGCACAAGGGTAGGGACGACTGGGGAGGTAACGGTAGGACGAGGATTAGAGGAGTATGAGAACGAAAGACCATAGAGTGGACAC